GGGGCGAGTCCTTCGCCCTCCCCCCCACCACCACCCCCTTGAACACTACCCCTCTCCCCACGGATGCCCAGCCTTCCTACAGCCCAACACCCACGCAGGACCCCAGCTCTCCCCGCTCCTGGGGGCTGAGGGGAGGGATGCCGTGGCACAGCAACACTACGACACCCGTCAAACACTAAGCCAGCCCCGCGGCGCGGGTGCTGAGCCCTGCCTGGGGCTCTGTGCCGTCCCTCCCCGCCCCGGAGGGACAGAGCAGGGATGTCCCCTGTCTGCTGTTAGCCCTCTGTCCTCTCCCCGCAGAGCTTGACTCCAAAGGGGGCGGCTGTGCCCTTCTGCCCTTGATTTTAAGTATTTTAAGCCAGGTTGCTTCTGGACCTTGGGCTTTTCCTACTACAAACTCTACCGAGTCCGTCAGAGCTGGGGGATAATTTGGGGGGGGGGGTGGAATTGGGCCACAGCCCGAGGTCTACCCACCGTGGGGCAGAGCAGATCGTGGCTCCTCTCCCCCGAAGGCTCTGCACTTACCCTCCCCGGGGGAGCCGTCAGCACTCCGTGCCGCAGGACCGGGGCTCGCGGCTGCGGGGCTGGAGCTCGGCTGACCCTCACGTGCCTTTCCTGCGCCCCCCACCTCTGCCCCACAGCGACCCTCCTTGGGGGGGGAGCAGTGTGCCCCTCTGCCACTGGGTTTGGTGGGAAAGGGTATCGTACGTCTCAGTGCCGCTCCTGCCACCCCCTTAGCCCCGAGCCTCCCCGCGCGGTCCTTATTACGGGGGTCGGGATGGGGCCTGGCGGCGGCAGCGCTTGCTCCATCTCTCACTCGACTCCGTGGTTTTCCTTGCTAGAAAAGTGGTCTCTTCCCCCCACCTTCCTCGGCCTTGGCCGGGCTCCGGCACCTCTCCTCCTCGGCTAGCGCCATCCCTGCCTGGCCGGGGGCCGAGCCCCAGCTCCGCACCGGGCCCGTGCTGCAGCACGTCCCTGTCCCTGCTGCTCCCGGCTCCTGTTACAGTTACACAGCCCCTTTTTAATGATTTTAACCGTGCATGTCGATGTATGTCTGATCCCCTGCCGCGCTGTGCTCCGAGCAGGCTGACCGGTGACCCCGGTCCCAGGCGCGAGGGGCACGGGGCAGCTCCCCCCTCGCTCCCAGCAGCGCAGGGAGCCCAAGGGACCGGTGTCCTCGGGGCCCTCGCCTCTGTCCCCTCCCCGGCGGGGACCGGCGTCGCATCCTGGGAACGCTGGCTCCCGCTCAGGTGGATTGAAATGCGTTCTGTCAGCTGGGACAACTTGCTAGACCTTTTTTTGTAATGGTTTCTCCTGGTTTTTAGGGGAAAAAAAGATGACCCACAAATCTCGACTTGCATCTCTGAATGAAAGTATTAAATGTTTTCTTCTTTCTAACGGCCGCGTCCTCTCTCTGAGCGCGACACCGGGCTCCGGGAGGGCCGCGGCGGGATGGAGGAGCAGCCCCGGATGAACGTCCCCCTGATTCAGCCCCCAAAACCAGGCAGCTGGATGGTGCCTGCAGCCCACGAGGCCACCGGCGCCGTCCCTCCCCGCGGCACTAGCTGGATGTCCCCAAGCCAGCGGAGCCGCACGCTGGCCG